GAGCAGGAAAGCTGACGTTTCAGGTCTGGACCCTTCTTCAGAAAGAAAAAATTCTGAAGAAGGGTCCAGACCTGAAACGTCAGCTTTCCTGCTCCTCTGATGCTGCTTGGCCTGCTGTGTTCATCCAGCTCTACACCTTGTCTTTCACATATTTTAAAGTTTTCATACCTGAAAGCAACATGATTCTTAACCATGTGTAAACAAACATCATGAAATTGACAGCAGAGATTGGCCAGCCAGACCTGTAAATGCATCACAAGATGCAGATGTTTCAGCCCTCTAGTTGATGACTCTGCCAAAAATAAATAATGAGGCTTTGCATCGGAACTAGATATCCATTATTCGCTTGAAATGCCTTGAATTTTCTGAAGTCATTCTACCTACTTCGAGGATAGAATACTAGCCCATAAATTCAAATCAAAAACAGAAATTGCTGGAAAAGCTCAGCAGGTCTGGCAGCATCTGTGAAGAGAAATAAGAGTTAATGTTTTGGGTCAAATGGCCCTACCTCAGGACTTCCTAGCAAGGGTTGCCGGACTCGAAACGTTAACTCCGATTTCTATTCAGAGATGCTGGCAGACCTGCTGAGCTTTTCCAGCAATTTCTGGTTTTGTTTCTGATTTACAGCATCCACAGTTCTTTGGGTTTTTATTTAGCCCGTAAATTGCTTGTGTAGAGTACACATTTTATGTGACCTGTGGTAGGTTGGGTCAAGTGGCTTTTTCTTATTTATTGCTTTATTTATAAAGGATAAGAAAAAGTCTGGACACTTTTTGGGATAAAGTTTATAGTTAGCAGGTCAGGTAAACACATCATTACCTGTCTGCTTTCTGTATTCTGCATTGCAAAGGTAAAGAAAATCTGCACACGTTCATTTAAATGTACCCCTTCCTATCAATTAGGATATAATTTTATTTAAATTTTTCAAGGAAAGGCATTATGACATACAATTATTGTAAAGGTTTATAGTGGTAATGAAACTGTTTGATCTATTTTGCCATATCTATTTTGCCATAATACAGATGAAATTAAGTTATCTTTCTGAGTAATTGGATATTTAATAAATGTTCTCCTAATTGCATTGAGCTTTTCAATAGCACATAGATTTTTATAGAAAATCAATAAAAGTATAGAAGTAGATAATTTAGCCCAGTGATTCTCTGAAACTGTTCATCTTCTTGGTCTGCTATGTCATCAAAACTTCTAAAAATTAAGACACGAAAGCTTCACCTTCTGGTTTTTCTCACTAGATTCCCTTGTACTTTCTCTTTTACCATCCTCCTAAAATCCCAAGTCTTTGTGAACTTTCTCCTAATATCCTCTTTGAGTCGATGTACATCTTACACATCTGAAAAAAAGCCTTGGGCATGTTTACCTACATAAAACTTAATTGAAGTTATTATTGCTCATATGTAATTTTTGTCACCAATGAGAATTGTAAATTTTGCAATTGAAATTGTTGTGTTCACTGAAAATGAAGGTAATTAAAGATATCCATTGCAAATAATTCAGATTGTGTTATTTACTTTAAAAATATTTTATTCCAGTTGCAGGATGAGCAAGTCTTTGCCTGCTGGCAGAAAATATTCCAGTATTTCAATGTTTTAAGAGAAAACTTTGATATACTTAGAAGTGTGATGAAACTTCTTTTAGAGATTAATGCTTTGCTTACTCCATGTAGCAATGTGGTTCATGAAGTATTTTATAGTTGATATTTTGAGCAATCTTGTAAATAGATTTGAGTTTTCAAGATATCATTATACAAGTACCCAAAGTAACTTAAGCCCCATTAACTTGGAATTAGTGCTGTTGTATGACTTAATGTAGCACATCGGAAAAAAACGCTATGCTAATTTACATTGGGACCACCATGGTCAATTAGGAAATAGCTTAGAAGTAAAAGCTGCTTATTCCTTGACAATCCCATGTTGGTAAACTCGGCAACACGACAAAAAAAATGTCACTTCCAACAGTTCTTAAGTATTTGGGCAGATCATAAGAGTTAAAGGAACATAATAACAAACACATTTGAAAGAAAATATTTAGGACACACTTAAGTAGCAATGCACTTAAGATCATTTTTATTTCCTATTAAAATGTTTATAATCTAATCTTAAAACAGTTGTCTTTTCCATCTTATGAATGTTATTTTTGCAACAGAATTTTATTCACCCAGTATTTCTGTAATTCACCATTGCAGAGCACTGAATAATCTTTTCTTTTTACAGTCTTGAACCTGAGTGGACTAATGCAATTATTGAACTGACAAGACGGACTAAGGGAAAGGTCCATCTTGCAGCTGTAGATACTTCAGTAAATGGAATATTAACCAGTCGATATGGGGTGAGCATATACTTGGAACTGTTTAAACCACATGTTGCACATGTGTTAGCTGTTGCTAAATTAATACAAAACTAACTCTGTTGCCTTGCTTTCTTCCATAACTATGAATTTTATGCTTCAAAGAGAAGCAATTCATTGCTCAATAACTTCCTGTAGTAACACATTTTATTTTCCAACAGCTTCTATCTAAAGAAGTTTCTCTTATCATCTCACATAATTTGCTGAGTGATAATTTCTTAATGATAAGTACTTCTTAATTCCCCAACCAGGGAAATATTTCCATGTGTATCTTCATAAATTTATTCATACACAGGATCCTATTCTTTATAAGCCAAAAGAATATGTCCATATGTAGCCCTTTGGTCACTGAAAAAGTTGCAATGCAGACTGTCAATTCTGCTGCATCTCAATGGCACTATACTGACCAATTAGAGTAGACTTGCCATGTTTGAATTTAATCAGTTAACTAAGAAAGTTAACAGTTCCTTCTGTGTTTCCATGCCAGTTGTTGTCCAACCAATCAGTATTCTCTTCTCATGCTGTAAAAAAAATGGTCTTTCCTTTCTAAAGTTGATTTTCTTACATTTCAGTGTTGAGTGCAAGATGAAAAACTTTGACTTCACTCTGTATTTGGCAATGTTTAATAGTCCATATAAAAGATTGCAGAAATTTGATTTGGAAATTCCTTTTTCAGTATTTTTTAACTTTCAAATTGTTGGATTTTGCTATGTGTTGTACATGGATAGGCGCTGGTCTTAACTGGAGTTAGATCCTCAAAAAGAGACATGCTTTTCAATCAGATCTGATGGTTTAAAGGAATTGCTAAGAAACCAGTCATTTCCAGCAGCCTTCCTGGCACAAATGGGATACCCAGAAGTATATAGAGTCATGCAGCATGGGAACAGACCCTTCGGTCCAGCTAGTCCGCACCGACCATGTTCCCAAACTAAACCAGTCCCACTTACCTGTATTTGGTACATATCCCTCCAAACCTTCCCTATTCGTGTATTTATCCAAATGCCTTTTAAATATTGTAGCTGTACCTGTAACCACCACTTCCTCTGGCAGTTCATTCCACATACGAACCACTCTGTGTAAAGTTGGAGGTTTCAATGGTCATACCTCTCGAGATTGCTCAGGTATGGGCACAAGAATAATACAGAGAAGAATTACAAGCAAAAGAAATAAAGATGGAGACATTTTTGGTAGATTTGGTTGAGAACAGGATTGGAATAATAAAACAGAGCTATGACCCCAGAAATGCCAGGAGCTACAAATGTCAAAATGTCATTAGGCAGTAAATTGCCCAAAAGAAACAAAGTACAGGGTTTTGAAGACGACATGCGATGTGGAAAGTTCAAAAGTGGAAAGTGATGTTGATCAGTCTGAGAGAATAGTACTGGTCACAAGGAGAGTAGTCTGAAAATGAGTGTGCTAATCTGATTCGTTTAATTATGTTGGGTGGTACAGTGGTTAAGGACCAACAGTATCTGGAACAACTGTTGCAATGTTATTTAGATTCACTAAGTAGTAAGGTTTGAAGTAAGGATGGAGAAATTCCATTTCCTTCAAGTTTGGGAATAATATGTTGAGGTTTCTGAAAAGAGTGGTGATTCAATGCAGAATAATATGCAAAAGTGTTTCATGCAGATGTCTCAGATAATTCACTGAATCTTACTGCATCGTATAAATCTGTCAGAGAGAAACTTTATTCCTGGGAATTTAGTGTACCATAAAAGAGAAGGCTAGAAAGAGTGGAAAAATTTGCATAAAAAGAAAGGATGTGATAGGAAGATTGTAATTCTCTAATATGGAGTCAAACTATTAGGTCCATTCATCTAGGTTTGATTTAGGATTGATTTCAGGATTCGAACAATTAGTTGAAAGTGGTGAGGCACCTTGTATCACATATGCTCATTTATTTGATACGGTTATATAGTAGATAAGGGCTGGATGATGATAAAATAGTAAAACCAATGCAGAACATAGGACTATTGTACTCATAAGACCATTGTCTAAAGTTGGTACTAGGGTAATGTACAAACCCAAAGGGTCTAGTGAATGGATGGATGTGACCATATACCAAGAAACAGTACATCAAGTGAAACCAAAAATAGAATTCAAGTCTCCATATTAGAACTGGAAGTGAAACTGGCACTACATGATGATCACATACTGGCAATGCAACTGCTAATCATGGGAGAGAGAGATTCTGTAGCAGTAATTCACAAAGACATGGAAGAGCGATTAGAGGTGTAGAATTGAGCAAAAATCCCCATCATTTAAAATACTGGGCCAAAACCCTGGACTTTTCAAAAACTTTTAGAAGTGAAAAAAAAAGACAGCTGGGCTGAGAACTCTGGGAAAAATACACACACAGAGATGGCTGCTTCAAACCATCATTCAGCCTGAAAATCCCATTCACACTTCCACTCTAAGAGAACAATTAACCAGACCTAACACTCTAGACTGAAACTAACTTTTACCCTTTGGGCTACACAACCCAGACATTATGGAGCCTGTACAGATACCAACACATTCAACTTCAATCAATATTTATGCACAAAGATACCAGATATTCCATTTAATCAAAATACATTTACACCTGTTCTTAACTATCAGGAAGCCAGTTGCCTCAGAGGAAGCCAGTAACATGATGGCAAGTGCAGATTTGGCACAAAGATAACAGGCCTGCAATTAGTATAATTGCAGGCCCCAACCTCACCTGAGAGATCAATTCGCCCTGGGAGCTATCTCCGCAGCTACTACCAGGAGAAGGATCGGAAAGAGCTAAGGCCTGAGAACTATCTGCACAGCTATTTCCAAAAGATCCCGACGGCAATCCCGAAATCTACGGACACAGGCCTGTTCCGTACCAGGGGAACCAATGGCAATCAACCACACAAGCAGACCTGACAACCGACGAACTCCGAAAATCACCAACCCAACTGACAAGGCCTCAGACACATTCTGAGGTGAAAACCAGCTCACAAAACCACCACAAAGTAGGAAAACCAAATACCCACCCGATAAATCCAAAACACATCCTTCCGCATCAGTGGACTCAACCCAGACTGAAGGCCTACACCGTTTGAAGTCTTCATTGAAGCACCAGCTACAGCAAGTAGGAATGGCCAGCTGTATTTCAAAATCATGTTTATCCCCAGTGGTGAGCTTATATTCTCGAGACCCCAAAGTATCCAACCTAGCTAGCAGGGAGGGGAAGGTGGGTGGTGACAGTACAGAGAATCCCAAGGGTAGGAAGCCTGATAAAAGTTTTTGTGATTAAAGCTACTGTTTAGCTTCTAGTAGTGTTTAGCCTGTGTTTAATTTAATAGTGTATTTAAGTACTGTCCTCTGTATAACTCAGTGTCATTTTCACTGTTTTGTATTTGCCTTTATTTCTTGTAATATTCTCACCTTTTGTAAATAAACATGGAGATTCTTTTGCCCTGAAACACTTATCTACTGCCTTCTTCATTTCACATTCCTAAATAAGTTCAGTGTCAGAACCAGCGATCGGGGGTGATTCGAATGACCTAAAAATCAGGTTACTGATTGCAAACCAGAACACTACAGATATTGTAGTTTGACTAGGATATGTGCCAGGACAAGAACTACAGAGCAATCTAGGAACACTACAAGAAGTAGAAGCACTTAAGCACTTCAATGAGCTTTGCATTAAGTACATGCAGGGGCAGAGGGATCTGGGAGCATAAGTACATAGTTCATTGAAGGTGGCAAGAAAGGTGGAGATAGCAGTTAATAAAGCATACAATATCCTGCAGTTATTAATAGTGGCATACAAGAGCAAGAAGATTATGCTGAATTAACGCAAGATATTTTTGAGACTTATCTGCAATATTGTTCACAGATCTGGGTGCTACTCTACAGGAAGAATGTGACTGCATTGGAGAGAGTGCAGAAGAGATTTACAGCAATGGTTCCAAGAACAAGAAACTTCAATTATAAGGATAGATTGGAAGGATTAGACTGTACACCTTGAGGTGGTTTGGAGGGCAGTAGGGGTGGGTTGGAGGCGAGGTGGAGATCTGATTGAAGCTTTTAAAGGTCTGGATGCAGTAGAAAGGGAGAAACTGTTTTGCTCGTAAAAGGATTGAGAATAAGAGGGTATAAATTTTAGTTGATTTGCAATGTAGCAAACAAGATGTGAGGAAAAAGTACTATTACACAAATGAATGATTTGGGTCTAGAATTCACTGCTTGGAAGTGTTGTGGAGGCAGACTCAATTGTGATAATCAAGAGATATTGGAGATTATTTGAATAGAAACAACATGCAAAGGTACAAGGGAAAAGGCACAAGTCATTGTGCTCGGTTGCAGAGTCAGGGCAGACACAATGGGTCGAATGACCACCTCCTGCTCTATAACACTTCTATGATTCTGTGAATATTGGAAGATTTTGGTGGCTGCAAACAAGTCAAGATAAATCAATATGAGATGATACAATAAACAGAGTTGGATCATTGTAAGGAATTTGCTGTCTACTCTGAAGTGTCAGCATATCACACATATGTAGGAAAAAATTCTCCCAGATTGGGCACAGAATGCTAATGCAAGACTAGTGACTCAAGGTTTCAAAGTGGGTGGTGGTCACATTGCTAAATGGATTCCCCAAAGCAGGAAAAGCAATCTTGAACATTTCTTGTTCTCTTAGCCTCTCTATGCATGGAAATGTAGGTCAGTTGATATATTTGACCAGTAAAAATTTCAAAATGAAGTATTTTTGAAACCACCTCTAGAAATGAGTGATGTAGAAGGGAAGCAATGGAAATTAAACAAATGTATTTGTGGATTGAACGATGTGTCAAGGATATGGTATTTCTCAGTTAGGTTAGTCCTTATGAAAATAGTCTATATTCTACTGAGAGCAGATTCAACAATGTTCTGTCAGTGTCATGGAGAAACTCTCAGGCATCTTTTGATGCATACCAATAATTTTCTGTGGGGAGATTCTGCAGAATTTGACCAATTTGATT